GCAGCTATGGGAGGCCCGTAATCTGCCAGCACCCTATGTCAAAAAATTCAACACACCAGCAGTGTGAGGAGCCTGAAAGTGGCACATGGCAGAGTGTGATGGAGACAGCAGCAATTGGCCGTACAGGGACCCATGACAGACTCTGGACCTTGGCAGCATGAGGAGGCGGTATATAGGGGCCCATGGCAGATTAGGGGCCTGGCAGCAGCAGCTATGGGAGGCCCGTAATCTGCCAGCACCCTATGTCAAAAAATTTGGAACACACCAGCAGTGTGTGAGGAGACCTGAAAGTGGCACATGGCAGAGTGTGGCGATGGAGACAGCAGCAATGGGAGGCCGTACAGGGACCCATGAGAGACTCTGGACTTGGCAGCAGCATGAGGAGGCGGTATATAGGGCCCATGGCAGATTAGGGGCCTGGCAGCAGCTATGGGAGGCCCGTAATCTGCCAGCACCCTATGTCAAAAAATTCAACACACCAGCAGTTGTGTGAGGAGACCTGAAAGTGGACATGGCAGAGTGTGGCGATGGAGACAGCAGACAATGGAGGCCGTTACAGGGACCCTGGACTCTGGACCTGGACAGCAGCATGAGGAGGCGGTATATAGGGGCCCATGGCAGATTAGGGGCCTGGCAGCAGCTATGGGAGGCCCGTAATCTGCCAGCACCCTATGTCAAAAAATGGAACACACCAGCAGTGTGAGGAGACCTGAAAGTGGCACATGGCAGAGTGTGGCGATGGAGACAGCAGCAATGGGAGGCCGTACAGGGACCCATGACAGACTCTGGACCTGGCAGCAGCATGAGGAGGCGGTATATAGGGGCCCATGGCAGATTAGGGGCCTGGCAGCAGCTATGGGAGGCCCGTAATCTGCCAGCACCCTATGTCAAAAAATTCAACACACCAGCAGTGTGAGGAGACCTGAAAGTGGCACATGGCAGAGTGTGGCGATGGAGACAGCAGCAATGGGAGGCCGTACAGGGACCCATGAGAGACTCTGGACCTTGGCAGCAGCATGAGGAGGCGGTATATAGGCCCATGGCAGATTAGGGGCCTGGCAGCAGCTATAGGGGAGGCCGTAATCTGCCAGCACCCTATGTCAAAAAATTGAACACACCAGCAGTGTGTGAGGAGACCTGAAAGTGGCAGTGTGGGCATGGCAGCAATGGGAGGCCGTACAGGGACCCATGAGAGACTCTGGACCTGGCAGCAGCATGAGGAGGCGGTATTAGGGGCCCATGGCAGATTAGGGGCCTGGCAGCAGCTATGGGAGGCCCGTAATCTGCCAGCACCCTATGTCAAAAAATGGAACACACCAGCAGTGTGTGAGGAGACCTGAAAGTGGCACATGGCAGAGTGTGGCGATGGAGACAGCAGCAATGGGAGGCCGTTACAGGGACCCATGAGAGACTCTGGACTTGGAAGCAGCATGAGGAGGCGGTATAGGGGCCCATGGCAGATTAGGGGCCTGGCAGCAGCTATGGGAGGCCCGTAATCTGCCAGACCCTATGTCAAAAAATTCAACACACCAGCAGTGGGAGGAGACCTGAACGTGGCACATGGCATGAGACACTGTGGACTGGAGGGCCGTACAGACCCATGAGCATGCAGCAGGAGGAGGCGGTATAGGGGCCCATGGCAGATTAGGGGCCTGGCAGCAGCTATGGGAGGCCCGTAATCTGCCAGCACCCTATGTCAAAAAATTGGAAACACACAGCAGTGTGAGAGGAGACCTGAAAGTGGCACATGGCAGAGTGTGGCGATGGAGACAGCAGCAATGGGAGGCCGTACAGGGACCCATGAGAGACTCTGGACCTGGCAGCAGCATGAGGAGGCGGGTATAGGGGCCCATGGCAGATTAGGGGCCTGGCAGCAGCTATAGGAGGCCCGTAATCTGCCAGCACCCTATGTCAAAAAATTCAAACACACCAGCAGTGTGAGGAGACCTGAAAGTGGCACATGGCAGAGTGTGGCGATGGAGACAGCAGCAATGGGAGGCCGTACAGGGACCCATGACAGAGACTCTGGACTTGGCAGCAGCATGAGGAGGCGGCGGTATAGGGGCCCATGGCAGATTAGGGGCCTGGCAGCAGCTATGGGAGGCCCGTAATCTGACAGCACCTATGTCAAAAAAATTCAACACACCAGCAGTGTGTGAGGAGACTGAAAGTGGCACATGGCAGACATGGAGACAGCAGCAATGGGAGGGACGTACAGGACCCATGAGAGACTCTGGATCTTGGCTTAGCAGCATGAGGAGGCGGTAACAGGGTCCCCCATGGCAGATTAGGGGCCTGGCAGCAGCTATGGGAGGAACGTAATCTGCCAGCACCCTATCAAAAAAATGGAACACACCAGCAGTGTGTGAGGAGACCTGAAAGTGGCACATGGCAGAGTGTGGCGATGGAGGACAGCAGCAATGGGAGGCCGTACAGGGACCCATGAGACAGACTCTGGACTTGGCAGCAGCATGAGGAGGCGGTATTAGGGGCCCATGGCAGATTAGGGGCCTGGCAGCAGCTATGGGAGGCCCGTAATCTGCCAGCACCCTATGTCAAAAAATGGGAACACACCAGCAGTGTTGTGAGGAGATTATTTGGATATAACAGTTGTCACATGGCAGAGTGTGGCGATGGAGACAGCAGCAATGGGAGGCCGTACAGGGACCCATGAGAGACTCTGGTTGGCAGCAGCATGAGGAGGCGGGTTATATAGGGGCCCATGGCAGATTAGGGGCCTGGCAGCAGCATTATGGGAGGCCCGTAATCTGCCAGCACCCTATGTCAAAAATGAGAACACACCAGCAGTGTGTGAGGAGACCTGAAAGTGGCACATGGCAGAGTGTGGCGATGGAGACAGCAGCAATGGGAGGCCGTTACAGGGACCCATGAGAGGACTCTGGAGTGTTCTTGGCAGCAGCATGAGGAGGCGGTATAGGGGCCCATGGCAGATTAGGGGCCTGGCAGCAGCTATAGGAGGCCGTTAATCTGCCAGCACCTATGTCAAAAAAATTCAACACACCAGCAGTGATGAGGAGACCTTGAAAGTGGACATTGAAAGTGTGGACATGGGATTGGCAGCACATAAATTTGGAGTGTACAGGGGTACCCATGCGAGGAGACATTTTGCCAATAAGGCCAAGTATATTATAGGCAATTTGCACCATGTGGCAGGACAAATGTGAACATACTGCATGTATGGGAGACCTGATTCATTGATTTGTATATCCCCATGATTTGCAATTGGGGCCGGATTGTTTCTTCCATGACAGGACTCTGGAAATGGCAGGATGAGGGAGGCGAGGTATAGGGGGCCCATGGCAGTTTAGGGGCCTGGCAGCAGCAATGGGAGAGCCCTGTAATTTGCCAGCACCCTATGTCAAAAAATTGAACACACCAGCAGTGTTTGAGGGGAGACCTGAAAGTGGCACATGGCAGAGTGTGGCGATGGAAGCAGCAATGGGAGGCGTACATGACCCATGAGAGATTGGACCTGGCAGCAGCATGAGGAGGCGATTTTTTATAGGGGCCCATGGCAGATTAGGGGCCTGGCAGCAGCTAAATGGGAGGCCCGTAATCTGCCAGCACCCTATGTCAAAAAATTTAACACCAGCAGTGTGAGGAGACCTGAAAGTGGCACATGGCAGAGTGTGGCGATGTGACATGAGCATTTATACATTGGGAGATTCGCTACACCAGGGACCCATGGACTTGGACTGCATTATGGCGGTATATAGGGGCCATGGCAGATAGGGCCTGGCAGAGTTTTAATTATAGGGGAGGCCCATATGTTTTATTAAGCAGATTTATAGGCCCGTTATCTGCCAGCACCTATGTCAAAAAATTCAAACACAGCAGTGTGAGGAGACCTGAAAGTGGCACATGGCAGAGTGTGGCGATGGAGACAGCAGCAATGGGAGGCCGTACAGGGACCCATGATGTGAGACTCTGGACAATTGGCAGCAGCATGAGGAGGCGGTATATAGGGGGCCCATGGCAGATTAGGGGCCTGGCAGCAGCTATGGGAGGCCCGTAATCTGCCAGCACCCTATGTCAAAAAAATTGAAACACACCAGCAGTGTGAGGAGACCTGAAAGTGGCACATGGCAGAGTGTGGCGATGGAGACAGCAGCAATGGGAGGCCGTACAGGGACCCATGAGAGACTCTGGACATGGCAGCAGCATGAGGAGGCGGGATTTTATTGGCAGGCTGGCAGGTAGCCATATTTAGGGGCCTGTAATCTCGTGCCGTAATCTGCCAGCACCCTATGTCAAAAAATTGAACACACCAGGCAGTGTTGAGGAGACCTGAAAGTGGCACGTTCTGGCAGAGTTGGGCGATGGAGACAGCAGCAATGGGAGGCGTACAGGGACCCATGAGAGACTCTGGACTTGGCAGCAGCATGAGGAGGCGGTATAGGGGGCCCATGGCAGATTAGGGGCCTGGCAGCAGCTATGGGAGGCCGTAATCTGCCAGCACCCTATGTCAAAAAATGGAACACACCAGCAGTGTGAGGAGACCTGAAAGTGGCACATGGCAGAGTGTGGCGATGGAGACAGCAGCAATGGGAGGCCGTACAGGGACCCATGAGAGACTTTGGACTTGGCAGGATTTTTGGCGGCAGGGGCCATGAGGTGGCAGCAAGCAATTTTAGTTTTAGTTTTTTTTGCGGGGTATGTAAAATATTTTTTTTTTTTTGTTGTATTTGAAAGTGGCACTGGCATGTATAATGGGTTTAGCTATAGGAGGGTATTTTTTATTTTTATGAGAGGATTTGGACTCTGATTCGGCAGCATGAGGAGGCGTTATTATGGGGCCCATTGGCAGATGTATCAAGGGCCTGGCAGCAGCAATGGGAGGCCCGTATTCTGCCAGCACCCTATGACAAAAATGGAACACTACCAGCAGTGTGAGGAGACCTGAAAGTGGCACATGGCAGAGTGTTGGCGATTCTAACAGCAGCAATGGGAGGCCGTACAGGGACCCATGATTTTTTTGGCAGCAGCATGAGGAGGCGGTACAGGGGCCCATGGCAGATTACGGGGGGCCTGGCAGCAGCTATGGGAGGCCCGTAATCTGCCAGCACCCTATGTCAAAAAATTGAAACACACCAGCAGTGTGTGAGGAGGACCTGAAAGTGGCACATGGCAGAGTGTGGCGATTTTTTTACAGCAGCAATGGTGTTGTGGCCGTACAGGGACCCATGAGAGACTGTGGACCTTGGCAGCAGCATGAGGAGGCGGGCCGGTACAGGGGCCCATGGCAAGATTAGGGGCCTGGCAGCAGCAATGGGAGGCCCGTAAGGCACCCTATGTCAAAAAATTTACACACCAGCATGTTATATTTTGAAGGGAGTGTTAGGAGACCTGAAAGTGGCACATGGCAGAGTGTGGCGATGGAGGACAGCAGCAATGGATTAGGCCGTACAGGGACCCATGAGACACTCTGGACCTGGCAGCAGCATGAGGAGGCGGTTGGTATAGGGGCCCATGGCAGATTAGGGGCCTGGCAGCAGTGCTATGGGAGGCCCGTAATCTGCCAGCACCCTATGTCAAAAAATTCAACACACCCAGTGTTGTGAGGAGACCTGAAAGTGGCACATGGCAGAGTGTTGGCGATGGAGACAGCAGCAATGGAGGCCGTACAGGGACCCATGACACTCTGGACCTTGGCAGCAGCAGCATGAGGAGGCGGTATATAGGGGCCCATGGCAGATTAGGGGGCCTGGCAGCAGCAATGGGAGGCCCGTATTCTGCCAGCACCCTATGTCAAAAAATTCAACACACCAGCAGTGTGAGGAGACCTGACAGACTGGCACAATGGCAGAGTTTGGCGATGTGGGCAGAAGACCAGCATGGGAGGCCGTAACAGGGACCATGAGACACTCTGGACCTGGCAGCAGCATGAGGACGGGCCGTACAGGGACCCAATGGCAGACTATTGGATTCGGGGCATAGCAGGGGCGGTACGGGGGCCCATGGCAGATTAGGGGCCTGGCAGCAGCATATGGGAGGCCCGTAATCTGCCAGCACCCTATGACAAAAAATTGGAACACACCAGCAGTGTGAGGAGACCTGAAAGTGGCACATGGCAGAGTGTGGCGATGGAGACAGCAGCAATGGGAGGCCGTACAGGGACCCATGAGAGACTCTGGACCTGGCAGCAGCATGAGGAGGCGGTATATAGGGGCCCATGGCAGATTAGGGGCCTGGCAGCAGATAATATGGGAGGCCCGTAATCTGCCAGCACCTATGTCAAAAAATGGAACACACCAGCAGTGTGAGGAGACCTGAAAGTGGCACATGGCAGAGTGTGGCGATGGAGACAGCAGCAATGGGAGGCCGTACAGGGACCCATGAGTGACTCTGGTTATGGCACCCATGGGCAGCAGCATGAGGAGGCGGTATATAGGGGCCCATGGCAGATTAGGGGCCTGGCAGCAGCTATGGGAGGCCCGTAATCTGCCAGCACCCTATGACAAAAAATGGAACACACCAGCAGTGTGAGGAGACCTGAAAGTGGCACATGTTTGGGGCATGATTCATGGCGGATTTAGTCAGTTGTGTCAGGAACTGGTGGTTTGAAATCCAGACTAATCCACGCCTGATTCATTTTCACAAACGTGAGTCTCTCCACACTTTGGGTGGACAGTCGTGTCCTCCGCGGAGTTACAATACCTCCTGCCGCACTAAACACGCGCTCCGATGCCACGCTACTGGCCGGGCATGACAGCCTTTCAAGGGCAAATTCAGCTAGTTGGGGCCAAAGGTCAAGTTTCGTTGCCCAGTAGTCAAGGGGATTGTCTACCTCGGTTGGCAGGGTGCTGTCCAAGTAGGCCAAGCCTGTTGTTTGAGGTCCTGCTCCAGGTCCACCTGATGCTGCTGCTGCTGCGGCTGGTTAGTAGTTTCCTCACTGCGCTGGTGAAGAAAGCTACTCATCATCGACTGCAGACTGAGGCAGCCGCTGCTGGTGGAGCTGCCACTGCTCCTACCACCCCACCCCTCCCCTGCTGCCATGGCAGCGGAACGCGAGCGCACAGGGCCCACAGTGTCTGAGGATGGACGTTGGCGCACAAAGGCAGAGACCAACTGACTACATAGGTGGTTTTTATAGTACGTTATTTTTGCCTCCCTCTCAGCAGGTGTGAAAAAGGCCACCATTTTTGAACGGTAGCGAGGGTCCAACAAGGTGGACAGCCAAAAGTCATCCCTCTGTCTGATGGTTATTATTCGGCTGTCGCTACGCAAGCAACCGAGCATGCTATGGGCCATTTGTGCCAAGGAATGCGAGGGACTCCCTGCCTCCATCTCCACAGCATACTGCCACGGTGCGTCTGGGTCCTCTGTCTCCTCCTCCTCCTCCTCTACCAGATGCTCCTGCTCCTCCACTCCTGTCCGCTGAGTGGAAAAAACCACCCATTTCACTCAATAATTCCTGAGCACAAATGTCCTCCTCTACCTCCTCCTCTTCTTCCTGTCCTGCCCCCACAGGGGTCATGTGGCGTTGAGATCTGTGCGCCACGTCTACCGCACCCTGACCAGCCATTGTTAACAGCATTTGTTCCAGGACGTGCAACAGAGGAATGACGTCGTTCATCCCATAGTCCTGCCGACTCACGAATAGCGTGGCCTCCTCAAAGGGGCTGAGCAAGCGGCAGGTGTCACGCATGAGCTGCCAATGGCTGACATCGAAGTTACACAGGGGAGTACCTTTATCCGCTTGTAACATCAGGAAATCGGTGATGGCCTTTCGCTGTTCGTAAAGGCGGGTCTAACATGTGTAGGGTTGAATTCCACCTTGTTGCAACGTCGCAGATCAGGCGATGCTGTGGAATTCCGTTCTGCCGCTGCAGCTCAAGGAGGGTGTGCTTTGCGGTGTAGGAATGGCTGAAATGCATGCAAAGTTTACGTGACATTTTAAGGATGTCTTGCAGTGGGATGGTGGATTTTAGGAACCGCTTGACAACCAGATTGAACACGTGAGCCATGCATGGCGCATGGCACAACCTTCCTTGACGCAGAGCAGACACCATGTTCTTTCCGTTGTCGGTCAACATGGTTCCGATTTTCAGTTTGCGCGGAGACAGCCATCTGTCGATTTCTCTGTTCATTACACTGAGAAGTTCCTCCCCTGTGTGACTACGTTCGCCAAGGCATACCAGGTGCAGCACAGCGTGACACCGTTGCGCCCTGCACATGTGATATGCCGGTCGGGTAATGGGACTTGGCACGGGGTGGTGGGTGGCGGCTGAGGACACGGCGGAAGAAGAGGTGGTAGAGGCGGACATCTTTTGTGGACCAAGGACGTGCAAACGTGGAGGCAAAAGCGGCGTGACCTGTCCAAGTTGCTGGTGCGGCTGTGACGGCGGCACCACGTTCACCCAGTGGGCCGTAAATGACATGTACTGTCCCTGACCGTAGTTACAGCTCCACACGTCGGCGCTGCCGTGCACTTTGGCAGAGACCGACATGCTCAAAGACTGGCCCACCATCTCTTCTACATGTGAATGCAGGGCTGGCACTGCCTTTTTGGCGAAGAAATGACGGCTTGGCACTCTCACCGCGGCGCGGCACAAGCCATCATTTCTCGGAAAGGTGCTGAGTCCACCACTTGGAAAGGGAGGGACTGCAGCACCAGCAACTTGGACAGGAGGACGTTCAGCTTTTGCACCGTCGGGTGCGTGCTCGCAAACTGTTGTCTCTTGGAAACGGATTCCAAGAAAGACTGCTGACGGAATCCGTGAAGAGGAGTAGCAGGAGAAGGAGCATCTGAACGAGCGGGAAGATGGCAACGAGCGACAACTCCCCTCAGCAGAGGTGTTGGAGCCTTGACTGGCTGATAGAGGGCGATTGACGTCGGGTGACGGAGCAAGTAACGGAGCGGGTGATGGAGCGGGGGCTGGGGCGGGCAGAACCGCCTTATCTTTATCACGGTTTTCCCAGGCCACCAAATGGCGACGCTGCATATGCTGCCGCAACGCTGTAGTCCCAACATGGGCCCCTGGCCACGCTTGACTTTCTGGCCACATAGTCGACATACGGCTACGTTTACTTCCTCGGGCGGCTTGACAAAAAATTGCCACACCGCCGAGTAGGAAACTTTGCCCCCGATACTCCTCACTGGCTGACTGCTGCTTCCTCCGTGCACACCGGCACCACTACTGGCCGTGGTGGTAGGCTGCAGTGGAGCTGGTGCTGTACTCCGTGGCCGTTTGCCTCCACTGACACTGCTGCGACCCTGCTGCCTCCTGGGCAACCCACCGACTGTTTTGCTCGCTGCCAAGCTGCCACCCTCTTCTCCTGATGATGCGGAAGCAATAGCCTGATGACGACGAGGCTGCCAAGTGCGATCAGCCTCCTCATCATCAATTAGGGTCTCCGCCTCACTACTAGCCCCCTCGGCTGCGTGTGGGTCAGGAGACAGACCTGTCTCTAGACCGGCTACCGAGCCACTCTCCCTCGCCACTACTTCTTCGCCTGGCTGCTGAAGAGGCGGATGTCTCCCCCCGTTCCTGACCGCCCTCTGTTTGCTCTTCCTCACTGTACAGTGGGGCTGAGCCCACAGCATGCGATACTTCGCTTGGTGAGGGAACACCAAAGGACAGGGGCAGGTAGAGGACACGTGATTTCAGTGGGCTTGGTCCCGGGCCATGCCAACTAACGGTTGTGTCTGACGTACCCACCGACCGTTGGCTGTAGGTGTCAGAGGTGACCTGGGAAGAGGAAGACGACCGAGCCAACCAATCGATGGCGGCAGGGTTGTCGGTGGAGACACGACCGCTGGATGACACCGGGAGCACTGGCCTCTGGCTGCGAATAGTGCTGCCTCGACCCCTTCCTCTGCTGCCACGTCTGCTCGCTCCTAAAACATTGCCTCCTCTGCCACTCCTCTGCATGTTGTCTGACATACTCTTTAATTAAACGATTCTGTGTCCCTGAGTAACAATTCTGTGTCTGTCCCTAAGTAACAATTCTGTGTCTGTCCCTAAGTAACAGTTCTGTGGCCCTCAGTAACGTTTCTGTGGCCCTCAGTAACGTTTCTGTGGCCCTCAGTAACGTTTCTGTGGCCCTCAGTAACGTTTCTGTGGCCCTCAGTAACGTTTCTGTGGCCCTCAGTAACGTTTCTGTGGCCCTCAGTAACGTTTCTGTGGCCCTCAGTAACAAATCTGTGGCCCTCAGTAACAAATCTGTGGCCCTCAGTAACAAATCTGTGGCCCTCAGTAACAAATCTGTGGCCCTCAGTAACAAATCTGTGGCCCTCAGTAACAAATCTGTGGCCCTCAGTAACAAATCTGTGGCCCTCAGTAACAAATCTGTGGCCCTCAGTAACAAATCTGTGGCCCTCAGTAACAAATCTGTGGCCCTCAGTAACAAATCTGTGGCCCTCAGTAACAAATCTGTGGCCCTCAGTAACAAATCTGTGGCCCTCAGTAACAAATCTGTGGCCCTCAGTAACAAATCTGTGGCCCTCAGTAACAAATCTGTGGCCCTCAGTAACAAATCTGTGGCCCTCAGTAACAAATCTGTGGCCCTCAGTAACAAATCTGTGGCCCTCAGTAACGGTTCTGTGGCCCTCAGTAACGGTTCTGTGGCCCTCAGTAACAATTCTGTGGCCCTCAGTAACAATTCTGTGGCCCTCAGTAACAATTCTGTGGCCCTCAGTAACAATTCTGTGGCCCTCAGTAACAATTCTGTGGCCCTCAGTAACAATTCTGTGGCCCTCAGTAACAATTCTGTGTCTGTCCCTGAGTAACGTTTCTGTGGCCCTAACTAACGATTCTGTGGCCCTAAGTAACGATTCTGTGGCCCTAAGTAACGATTCTGTGGCCCTAAGTAACGTTTCTGTGGCCCTAAGTAACGATTCTGTGGCCCTAACGTTTCTGTGTCCCTAAGTAACGTTTCTCTGTC